ACTAGACTCTTAGGTACTACCCAAAATAAATGAGACAACCATCTCTCTACAGAGCACTTTCTAGCAAAAGACAACTACAATTATTAAGTTTGAAAAATTTAAGTCTTAAAACGTGTACCAACTGAACTGACCAAACCTTAAACTAGCAAGCGCCAGTAAAAATCTAGACTAAAATTCTTTCCCAGATTAAAGCTGTTTTATACACTGCGTGAAGTTGGTCAAGGAAAATCATTCTTCCCAACTGACCAAGTTCCTCATCTGTAAAAGGAGGAAATGGTTTACATACCATGCTCCTATAAGAATTCTAATAGCTAACACATGTGAAAGCACTAGGAGACATTTGTCTTAAGCATTAATCAGTGTAGTTTTATAACTAATTCTGCCCATTCACAAGTGGAATTACTGGATATGAGTATATGTCATATTGCGGGCTATCAAAGAGCTATGATTACAGGTATGTACCACCATGACCCAGTTTATAGTCATTTTAAGTTAAAAAATTAATATCAGGCAGGGACTTGCTCACACTAGGAGAAATTCTTTTATTTTGCTCATTGTTAGTGTGTGGTACATGATGCACGCAGAGACAAGAGGGTAAATTCATGGACCCAGTTCTCTTCTCCCACCATTAAATGAATCTTGAGGCTTAAAGTCAGGGAGTCAAATTTGCTCAGCAAGTACATTATCCACTGAGGCGTTGAGCTTGCCTGCCCCACCCTAAAGAGAAATTCTAAATGAGCCTCCCAAAGATGCTGGAGTGTAGCATAGTCCAAAATGTCTACCTTCATCCCAAGTAGAATTATTTTCGTCAAAATAGTTATGACAAGTTACTATAATAATCATATCAACTACCAGATTCTGCTGTAAGTTTTTATGGATATGATCTTATTTTAAAACTCAGAAAAATATGATGTGTTAAAAACTATTATTTTGATTTTTTTATGTGTGTGGGGAGATATATATGCACATGGGTGCAGTGTCAAAGCCCCTCGGAGGAGCCCAGAAGATCCTGAGTGAATCCTAGACAACTGAACATTTAGTTATTTACACTGTCGGGAGTTTGGTTTTGCTTTGTTTAAATAGTGACTGTGCCCTGCTTCTTCCCTCTTGAAGAAGGTACCTAACTTAATTTTTTTTTTTTACAGGAGCCCAAAGCTGAAAGGCTTTGAACTTTTAAAAATGATTCTGGATTTCTGAAGTGATTGGATTTTTTTAAAGAGACTGAACGTTTAATGTTTGAATTAATGTTTGAATTCCTAAGTACTGTGGAAGTTTTAAAATTATTATGTCTTATATTGTGATATTAACATTCCATCTTTAGGATAAAAGAGGAAGGAAAGGTTCTAATTGAAAAGTGATGTGTTTGTGTGTCAAGTTGACAAAGGGTCAGTTATACAGCTAGGTTTATGTCAACTTGATACAAGCTAGACTCATCAGAGAGGAGGGAGTCTTTGAGAAAAATGCTTTCATTAGGTCCAGCTGTAAGGCATTTTCTTAATTAGTGATTGACAGGGGAGGAACCAGCCCATTGTGGGTGGTGCCATCATTGGACTGGTGGTCCTGGACTTTTTAAGAAAGCAGACTGAGCCAGCCATGAGGAGCAAGCCAGGAAGCAGCTCCCATCCACGGCTTCTGCGTCAGCTCCTGCCTCCTCCAGGTTCCCGCCCACACTGCTTCTGAAGATGAACTGTTATATGGAGCTGTGAGCAAAAGAAACCCTTCTTCCCCAAGCTGATTTTCGTCATGGCAGATCATCAAAGCAACAGTAACCATAACTAAGACAGCAACCTTTGGGCACAAAGATTTATAAGTGGTTAAGAGCACTTGCTATGATTTCAGAGGACCTGACTTCAGTTACAGCACCCACACCAGGCAGTTCCTAGTCGCCTGCAGCTCCAGCTCCAGGGCATCCAGACAACGTTCCTCCTCTGGCCTCTGCAGGTCCCCCACTCACATGCACATACCCACACACAGCCACACACACAAATAAATAAAACCAGTTTTAGGAGATTATAAAGAGACACATGTAGGTACTGTTAGGTAAAAGGTTGATGGAGAACAGGATGTTTGTAGGGCGCCAAATACAGCATTTCTGTTTTATTCAATGGATAATGTGACACTTCATCCACAACTCAATCTCATGTCCCCAATAGTAGGACAATCAGAAATTACGAGATGGAACATGCTGTAATACACCTCCCTATAAAAACACTACTTTTCAAAAATGCTCAAAATTAATGTAATCAAATCTTGACACTTCTCCAAATTTACAAGAATTACAAAAGCAAAGGAACAAATTAAATGATCGACGAAGGAATCAAACAGTCAACACTGTTTAAGTCACTGGGCCAATTTACTGAAAAGTCAAAGCACATGAGACAAAACAAACAACATCACTCTTCAGCACTGAAGATGTAATAGCATAATAACCAAATTGTTAAACGAGCCTCCTAAAGACCTGGGGCTGGGATGTAGCTCAGTGGTAGAAGTCTAAGCTAGCATGCTGAAGGTTCTGAGTTCAATCCTCAATACGACATAAATTGGGCATGGTGGTACCCACATGCAATCCTGGCACTCATGAGGTTGTCCTCCAGATCACATGGCTGGAAGCCTGCCTGCATTACACGGGACTCTAGGGAAAGAGGGGCTGAACAACCCTGATCTCAAAAGGGAATTCATAAAGTCACACTAAAATCTGACACAGATAGTGTAGTTATGATAGAGGTCTAAATGCAATTTTAAAAAGTACAAGGTAACTAAATAATAGCTCCCTTTTCCCTTATCCATGGATATTACATTCCAAGACCTCAGAGGAGTCTTACAACCATTAATAGTACTATTTTTATGATTTATTTATGTATACAGTGTTGTGCCTGCAAGTATGCCTGCCTGCCAGAAAAAGGCACCAGATCTCATTAAAGATAGTTGTGAGCCATCTTGGTTCACAAGATGCTAGGAACTAAACTCAGAACCTCAGGAAGAGCAGCCAGTGCTCCTAACCTCCCAGTCATCTCTGCAGTTCCAACGGTACTAAGTCTTACTATATACAGACACATCTAATAATGTTTAGTTTATAAGTGAGTGCCATAAAAGATTAACAGTAACAAAAACAATAATTATAGCAATATGCCATAGTAGAACTTATAGAGATGTTTCCCTTCATGCCATGGCATGGGCGCTGCATCCAGCAGAATACCCTTATCGACGGGATGATTCACAATCCTGGAAGGACAGAACAGGATCTTGGGCAAGATTTCATCACAAGACTCAGAATTAAGTGCAACTTAAAACTGAGGAATTTCTCATTTCTGGAATTTCCCATTTAACAATTTCAAACCAAAATTCTAAACAGATAACTGAAACCATTCAAAATAAAAAAATGGAACAATAAATTCAAGTCTTAAAAGCAAAAGCTCTTCCACTGCAGCTACGGAGTGTCACAAGGAAACAGAACATGCAATCAGACTCTAGCTGAGTACCAGAACCCTCTATAAAGCCAATCCATGGGCTTGAGTGAGTCTCAGACACCCTTTTATAGGTCTGCGAGGCCAAAGCCAGTTTCATAATACTACAGTATTAGTCACCAAACTCTGCTGCCATATACTCATGGAAAATGTTTTGTTGATGGAAGTCAAAGCACTGAAAACAAAACTATTAATCTTGAATCTTTTATACACATAGATTTCAATTTTCTGTATGACAAAATGAGAAATGTATAAACCACTACTATGTAGCATATTTTAATACAAAATTCAAAGCAAACCAGTTTTAATTTAGAAGAATGCACAAAGTTCATAAATGCATTTTCCAATTCCATTTGGCAGCCAATGTTTATAAGACTACTGTTCATCAAGTTTTGCTGGACTAAAAACAGAACAATGCCTGATTTGTTATGTGCATATAATTCTATGTCCAGATTTTACTCATATACTTAAAATTATCATATTAAAACACATTGGCTATATAGAAGCAGAAATAAAAACTCAGGTCCCATTTTATTAAGCTAGACATTAAAAAGACTTGTAAAAATACCAAGTAGTAAGAAAGGGGCATCATTTTTAATAAAAAAAATTCATGATCCAGCATTTCCAAATACTCAAATGAAGGAAATCAGTATTCAAGCAATATTTGCAATCCAATTATTTCCTGAAGTCACTGCAACCATGATATAGAATCAACCTACAGACTCCTGAATAAATAAAATGTTATATATGTGTGCAATGTTCACGGAAAACTAAATCCTAGTAACAACATAAAGAGAACTGGAAGATACTACATTAGTAAAGTAAAACTCAAGTAACCAGAGGTATGGGAGCTAAAAGAATCAATAACGTAGCAGTTAAAGGAACTGGTCTTATGGAAGTGAGTGTAAAATAGTGGTTATAAACTACTGGAAACGGAGAGGAATGAGGGCGGGGTAGAGAAAGAATGGCTAACACCAGCTGCCAGCACGTAAATTACTCCCCTGTCTCTGCAGACAGGTTACCACTGTTACCTGGCCCGGCCTTGAGCTCACACTGCTCTGCCTCTGTACCCTCTGTGAGGACCATAAGTGTGTACTCCTGTGCCAGCAACAGGAGGGACGTGAAGTGACCATCATCAATCATGTAATATTAACATGTGTTTATTATTTTAATTCAGTTGATAACAAACATTTTCTAATTCCATACGGTTAATTGATGTTATAGTAAAGATCAACAAATGCAATTCACATAAACAGAACCTCTTGGAAATTTTCATTGTTTTATGGATGTAAGGAGGCCTTACGACCAAAAAGTAAAAGAAAACCTGGTTTACAAGAATGAGACAACTAACAAAATGTGTTGTTGAATCTAAGAGACGTCGAATAAGTAGGAAGGAAGGTGTACTAAGTCTGTTGCAATGATCCAAGCAAAATAAACAACAACAGCGAATCTGCACAAATCCAGGTGGAAATGCAGTGTGGACAACGAATGTCAGGCCTCTGCGGACAAACAAGAACTCAATCTGAGGCTTCTTACCCTGGCTGTGCGGACTTGCGGGACTGAGAGATGGCTGGTGCGGGTCTTTAGTTGGTGTTGGGTAAGCCTCTTTCCCTTGGCGCTGACTCATCTTTCCTGGGGTCAAAAGCTGAGGTTCGTCACTGTTTGCTACAACAGCTCAAGAAAACAAAAGAAAAGAAATTACCATTAAAGCCATGGGTTTTGTAGCATAACTAATAATTTGAATAAAACTGAAATTCCTTAATGATTATATTACTCTCACCACTTTAGTAAGCTTGCATAATCATTTTGTTTTTATGTTCAGTTACTATAAATCCAAGAGGAATAGACATTAAGTCTCAGTTAAATAAAAAGATTGTAGACATTGTACATATCCAACTGTAGGGCCCCTATGGTCTACTGTGTATCTTTCACAGGGTAACATTAACTTTTCATTATCTGTCAATACAACAGGGAAAGACACATCATTTCAGAGAAGAGACACAAATGGTCAAAAGCATAAGGGAAAATGTACAGCTCTACTAATGATCAGAAAGTACAGATCAGTGGCTGCTGGAAACCAAACTGAACATTCAACTGAATTTCTACTCTGGTTTCTAATTTTTGATGGCAAGTAGTAAGATTTCAGTTTCAGAGACTGCCTTCCCTAAGATTAAACAGCACGTAACAGGCAAGATTCACACTCGCCCAAGGTTTCAAAGTCTATCTTCAAAAGGCTCCCTGATAGGGGCTGGAGAGATGGCTCGGCAATTAGGAGCAGTTGTTGCAAGTTCTATGCTAGCCCGGGCTATAGAGTGTTCAAGTTCAAGGTCTGCCTTAGCAACTTAGTGGGACTGTTTCACTGTTTCAGTTAGTCTCCACAGCTCGGCGAGAGCAATGATGCTAGCCCGGGCAGGGTCCTGGGTTTCATCCCGAGTAAAAAGAAGAAAAGAAGAGGGGTGGGGGAGGAGCACATGCACAGAGGAAGACAGATTTCTTTTCTCCTTACAATAAATCCATTGCCTCAAGAGCCAAAGGGTTGGCACCTTCGTATCTTTTCAATCTCCTCTTGGTTCCTGAGATAAGGGCCACCTCACTTTTCCTTAAAAATGCCATCTTGCAATTTTCTGAGCCTGTTTAACTTCTTTTTAAGATTTATTTTTTTTAATGTGTGTTGTATCTATGTGAATGTATGCCACAAGTGTGTGGATGCCTATGGAGGCCAGAGGCAGGTGTCAGATTCCTCTAGAACAGTGGTTCGCACCCTTCCTAATGCTGTGAACCTTTAATACAGTTCTCATATGGTGCTGACTTCAGCCAGAACATTATTTGGTTGCTACTTCATAACTGCAATTTTTCTATTGTCATTAATCATAATGTAAATATCTGATATGTGACTCCATGAAAGGGTCTTTCAACGACCAAAGAAGTCATGACCCACAGGGTGAGAACTGCTGGTCCACAGCTAGGGTTACAGGTGGCTGTGAGCCAACAATGTGGATATTAGGACAGAACTTAGGACCTCTGGAAGAAAAGCTCTCTTAACTGCTGAGCCATTTCTCTAGCTCTTGGGACCTGATTCTCGTTCCTTCTATCAGGAATATCCTGGCCCAGGTTTTTACTTACAGTTTCCTCTTGCTTGCCGCCTGTATTCAAATGTTATCTTTTTGGAAAAATCTTTTGGTTTCTTCATGGTGCTTTCTGATAAACAGGTTCTTGGTTTTAATAAAGCACAATTCATCGATGTCTACGTGTTGGTGTCCACCCAACTCAAGCTATTGTCTGTCATCATGATTTCCATGGTAGCCCGTATCACCATCTGAAATATTTAACTATTGCCTCTCTTTTCCTCCACCAGAACTTAAATTTCATGACGCAAGATTTTTGTCTGCCTCATTTCCCCATAAATGTTTAATCCTGATTTGCTTCCTGACACATTGAAGATACTGCTTCCTGTTACGCTAAAGGTATATGACAAAATTTTACTTAAAAGCCAATCAACTAGCTTCACCATCATAATGTATATATTTTGGTTTCTCGAGCAACTAAATCTGGTTTGTTTTATTGATTAAAAAAATAAACAGATTTCTAATTAATAGTAGGAATACACAAAAACTAAGTCATTTATACAACATCCCTTCAGATGTGTAGTCCAGAAACATAACAGAGGAAAGACAAGGCATTAGGACACCTGACCAGGCATACCAGACAGATTCTGTCCTTCATTGCAGCACACACAAGCAATTTTCCATGAAAATTAAGGAAACAAATGAAAATACAAAACTTGAAAACTTTTAAAACAGAGTATTTCTATAGATTTTGGGCAGGTAGTAATCCCTATACAAAGATGTAATAACAGTAATTAAAAAGGAATTAATAGGTACTAGCACTACAACATTAAATTAGGAATCCAGTCACTAGATAATCCCATAATGAAACTGAAAAAATACTGAGGAGAATATAGTGATAACCATAAAGCTAACAAAGGTTGTGTCTAAAGTGTTTTCAATCTATAGCTTTATATATCAATTAGAAAAGACCAACAGCATCACAGAAAAGTAGAAGGGAGAACTGAACAGCATTCCACAGAAAATGAAAATGTCAGTAAGCACATGAAAATATTCCTTCTGCTTAATAATCAGAGAGATGGAAATTAAGTTTCACAGAAGGGTATTTTATAGTCATCAGAACAAAAAAAAATTAACAAACTTGATAATGTCAAATAAGAAAGATGGGATCATCAAGACCTCTGGCACTGCTGGAGTGTAAGCTGACACTGGCACAGGGGATAACCTGGGGCTAGCACACACTTGATGAATGCAGCACAGTCTTATGATACCTAGGAAAACTCCCATGTGTTCTGAGACAGGAGTCAGAATTTCAAACAATACTGTTCAGAAAACAAAAAAACAAAGAAAAATCTTCAAAAAGTTTAAGAGCTCACCAGTCACAAACAAAATGGAGTGGGGTGAGGAGTCCTGGAGCTCACGGATAAGAGCCCTCATTGCTCTGCAGACAACCTGGGTTAGAATTCCCATGCACACATGACAACGCACAACCATCTGTAGTTCCAGTTCTTGGGGTACCAACACCCTCATCTGAACCTCTGCTGGCACCAGGTATACAGACATGCATGCAGGCAAAGCACACATACTCATAAAATAAAGCAACAATAATAATTCTAAAATAAAAAAATTTAAATGAGTTATCCAAATGTGTGGTGTACATCATTAATCCCTGTACTTGGAGGGCAAAAGCAGTCTACACAGTAAGACTGTCTCATTTAAAAAAAAAAAAAAAAAAGATGGGCTAATAACCTGAGGCACAAACCTAAGTTAGACTAGTATACGGCATCTATTTCTGGATCAAACAGCACAGATGAACCAGAGAAATACAACTACAAAAATCAAGTTTTCAACATACTACATATACTATGAAATAGTCCTTTAAAAAATAGGAGGGCACTGGGCTAGCATAGAAGAGGTATCCTGGATTTAATCTCTCATTTCAGAAAAGAAACAAGA